TCAGCTATTCCTTTATGTTTTGTATTGCATCATACATAAACATGCATGCAGTCACTGTAAAAACTGACCGTGAATTTAACGGTAAAAGACTGTAAAAATGCTACAGTAAAAACCTGTTAAATGGTTAACGGTAAATTCCCCTACTATATACGGTGAAAAACTGTATTGGACATTACATGTATTGGACATTAATTTTACGGTAGTATACCGTTTTTGTAAGTGAAAAAGACCGTATAATTTACAGTGAATAACCGTAAATTGACATTCCCAGAATTCCCTGCATTACATTTCAAATTTGATGTTTTTTTGTTGAAATAACTGTTTCTTCTTAGTTTTTTTCTTATCAGTTTTGTATATTAGGGTTGTGTGTTAGTTTTTACGGAAAAATTCCGGCAACCACAGCTGCCGTTTTTTTACCGTAAATTTTACAGATTTTTTTTTTACAGTGTGTAAGTATGTGATGCAATGCTTCACAGAAGACAACATTCTGTTCTTTGCAACAATTTCCGCTTCTAAGATAACATCAACTTCTCTAGGATTATAAACTTGTTGTGACGTTTGTCTATAGTTATATATAGGCTAAGTCAATGTCTTTATGGAGCAAACAAATGGGATTTTTACCTCTTGAACCTACTGTTGCACTCTATGACATTGTAAAGCATGTGCATAATATCATGACGTAGTTGTCGATAACCAGCACTAAATAAAGTCAAGGCACTTCACAGAAACAAGAAGTCAATCTTTAACTGGACTCCGAGTTATCCTGACGCCAATCCAACCATTTCAGGCTCGACAGGTTTGTAAACCCTTTCAACTAACCTCATAAACCACAGCCATCCTCACTAACCAGAACATAATCCCTTCCTTTCCGCATACAAAAGCAATCATTTATCTGGCACCCAAACAACGCTCTGTGATGGATATGAAAACTCTGAGAGCTCTGCTCTCGTTTCCAAACCTGACGTTCCTCCTAAAGGGTTATTTAGGACCCATTATCTCAGCGTGTAATTAAACTGCTTTCCCCGACTACAGGCTGATGAGAAACGTTCCCTCACAGTCTGCGCTGGAGTGAATGCTGAGGAACAGTTTAGTGACTAAAAACCCTCTTCTTTTCTCTTCTCTCCTCTTGAGTTTCCTCGTCCAGAGCAGTCCGTCCATTATAGAGGACATGAGCCAGAGACACTTCCTCAGATCACTTCAAACACAATCTGCAGAGAATCCCTTCAGAAAGCTCCAGGATGACTATTTGAAGTCCTATAACAAAAATGGGCAAATAAATAAACCAAAGAAGCATTGCTCAAATTTGAACACACGGTAATGGCTACGTTTAGGACATCTTGAAACTAGACTAATTACTGTAGAAACTAAGGCCCTATGAAATCTCTTATTTTTTCCACAATTTCTGTTTTATTTATTTATTTTCATTTCTGGATTCTGTTTTAACAGTTAAATTAAATATTATTAATCAAAAGACATGTCTAATGAATTGAAATAAGTTTTATTTTCCCTAAATTCTCTTTTATTTTT